CAGAAAGGATGCACGGCAGAAGAAACATGGAGAGGGACGGAGCTACAGGGACACTGTCGCAAGAGAGTGGTGCTGGGTGCTGGATGCCGCTTTAGTGTCGCCTCCGGGGTCCCAGACCCACCGAAAAACTCCCGGAGCTCCAGACAAATCCCCGCAGGTCCGGGAATAAACATGTTTGAGCAGCTGAGTGGCTAGAATATATTAAACAAAAAGGTTAGAGCAGAAATACAACAAAGTAAAACAGATTTAAATACAACAAAGTAAAACAGATTTGAGCAAACACAAATACCCACAAAGCTTCTGACTCCATATCTCCACGTAAGAATGTCTAAACAAGCACATTCTTCGACGGCTTGCTTGGGAGTGGAATTCTCAGCAGAAAGTTATGTTGGTTTATCTGCCTGGCTTGCTTGTGTCCTGACCGCATCTGGCCACTGCGCTCCACACCTTCAAGCCGTACTCAAGGCTTCGTGGTACACGGCATTGCTCGCAACAATTACCGGCTACACCACAAACTCACGAAACTCTGCCCAGCCTGTGCGCTTCGGCCCAAAATCTGCGAAGCTTGCGTTCGCAACTGCCTATGTTACCTCTCCAACAGGATTCAATGCGCGCCCCATCTCTTCCCACACTCCCTCTGTCATCCAAGTGACATCTTACCTTGTTTTGCCTGAGGCAGCAATCGCACTACTCACGACAATCCAACTACGCGAACGTCAACTGAGTTTCTGATGATGCATGGCATCACGGACATGAGGAATCTGGTCCAACATCGCCTCGTGAGTTCCCTGAGCACAAGACTTGGAACAAACGGAATCCCTCCATCATGTTGACACATCGCAGAGCAATAATTCAGCAAGTCGGAGTAGCAGCACTGCCACTACTCTGGTTCGGCAAGCCACGCATTACCATACATCTTTGCGATTATTACGACATTGCTGGAAGCCACAGACGCGCAAGGGGGGAGGTGATCGGGAGGAGTTTGCTGGAATTGGGTTAAAAACACTCCGGAGCAAGCATCGTCACAGAACAGGGCTGAACAAAGCTGTGCAAAGTGCCAGGCGCATGCTGTGATGTCATCCTATCTACTGGGAAGTCACCTAAAAACACAATCGCCTGCCTCCCCATGCATGGTCGGATTGAGGTTATCGCCAATGGTCTGCGGGCACAGGTCGCCGTCGACACCACCCTATCCTGTCTACTGGGAAGCCACCTGCCTCCCCATGCATGGAATTTCATTGTGGCTGGGGTGATTTTAAAATATCCGGCTTCGGTGCATTTGTGAAACTTTCCCAAACTTCATCGTGCGCCCATTGACAAGCAGCCACGTAAAGTCCGAGGCTGCGTGGAGGATCTGGGCATGAGTCCTGCAGCAGCGCTGGGAGTTGCAGAGTCATACCGGGCATGGTAGCACGCGATGCATAGCACCATTTGTTTTCTCCGCACGGGACCGTCAGGCGGGGACCATCCAGCGCCTGTGCCCACTTGGAGCTCTGACCTTCTCCCACCCGAGCTGTCGCACAGCGAGGCCAACTTTGTTGTGGTTTAGCTGGCGAGGCTGGCAGTTCAGAAAAGGAGCACACTCGGTCAACTTTTGAATCAACTGAGTGGTTGACACAAGCTGGCAAGGTCGGAACAAAACACTGGCTTGTGCTTGCACCAGTTCCGCCACGTCACCAACATGCTCAAGGGAGCGCTCCTGGCGTCGAAACGTTACTTCTGCTGTTGATTGTGGCAGTGGCACCGGTTGGTGTTACGAACGCACGGTACCCAACTCAGCTGCGCGGGCGCCGTTGGCAATTATTTGGGTCTGCTACAATTTTTGAACACTGGTTCGCGCCCATCAGGACAAATAGACCACAATGTGCGATGGACCTTGTCGCGGCACTGCAAACCAAGCAACTGGACCAATCGATACACCAGAGCGTTTCCAGACACGCTGCGAACGTTGAAGGTCAAGATCGGTTTTCAACTGATGGTATGCATTCGCCGGGCCCTAAGCTCAGCTCATTAGTTGCGCCTTCTGGTTCTGTTCTTTTTTCCTTCCTCAAATCTTCTTCATTTGAACAGCTTCCTCCTGCTGCTGCCACTGCTGATGAAATTAAACTCATGTTGTCTGGAACATAAGTCTTTGCATGGTTCATTATCTTTGCTTGTCTTCTCCTACTACTATGGGCAAATACCATGGTTACTACACAGCATGAAGCCATATGTCGGCAATTGTGGATCGAACTTCGACCCGCGCTTTTAGCCATGTGCAACAGATGGGAGCTGATGAAGAAGTTGTTCAATTCACCTCTATCCAAGACATTTCAAGACAAGGGGTGATTATATCCACTTTTTCTATCCTCTCAACTCTCAACTCTCAACTCTCAACTCTCAACGTTTACAAGCACACATATACAAATGACCAATTAAAAAGCTTGATTGTCCTCCACGGCATCTGAAAAGGAGGTGCCGTTCCAGGAAACGCGGCCTTTGAGGTGCTTCCAGTGGATCGACGTCAATCCGGCCTTCATTTGGTGGATCGACGACACCACTGGCAGCTTGAGGAGCTTTTTGTTGGCTGCCTTTTCTTTGCTCAAGCGGGTCTTGTCCAGCGCGCCATGCCCGCCACCACCATAGTGATCTGCTCGTATGGAGATGTATGAGCACTTTCGCGTTGCAAAACTTGTCTGTGTCCCAACTACTTGCGTCACAGACGCGGCATTTCTCGTCTACTCACAACTCGAGTTGAGTACCCTTTTACAGACACTGAGCAGTCCTTGCCTGATCGCGAAACCGCCAGCTAGAAATGCTTTGGCGGTCAAGATCCAGTCAGATTTCACCGCCAAAGCCTCCAGTTGCAACTCGGCCCAGCACATCACTACAATCTTCGCAGCAATGTAAGTGGCAATGCTGAGAGTGTCATTCATGACAAGCCTACAACATTGCGCTTGCTTGGGAAGGTGCCTGTGAGGCGCCTCAATTCCGATGCTCAAATTTGCACTTTTGATCACTTTTGTTAGAGGCCTTCCGGGCCCAAGACACGGGTGTGCATTATTCTTGTCTTTTTTGTTAGTTCCCCACCCGGAACTCTTCTCCTCGCCCAGTCTACTCCTCACTCATCCCTGGAGTGCCCAACCCCAAATGTCCCTGGAGTGCCCAACTCTAGAGTGTTCTTGAGTACCCCTCCCTGGAGTGCCCAACCCCAGCTCTCCCCAACCGCAGAGTTTTCCTGGAGTGCCCAGAAGTGCCCAACCCCAGACAGTCTGCCTGGAGTGCCCAACCCCAGACTTTGCCTGGAGTGCCCAACCCAGGTCTCCGGAGTGCCCAACCCCAGAGTGTCTCCGGAGTGCCCAACCGCAGTCTTTTTGGAGGCCTCAAGAGTCTGCCTGGAGCACCCAACCCCAGAGTCTCCCTGGAGTGCCCAACCCCAGCTCTCCTTGGAGTGACGCCTCTCTCTTTTATGAGAGGGGGGATGTTCCAAGGTGGGGGGGTGGGGGGGTGGAGGGTGGGGGGTGGGGGGGGGGGGGGGGGTGGGGGTGGGGGGTGGGGGGGGGTGTTCAGGGCAGGCTGAGCAGGTCTCATCAGGTCTGAGGTTTGGTCAGTTGCCCTTCACTCACCTGGAGGTCAAGCCGGGGCTGCCAGCCCCCCGTGCCAACATCCACGGTTGCTGTCTGAACTGAATGAGGGACGCTTTAAGACAGCAGTGGAACAGGCCCACTGCGGATAAGAGCACCAGCCAGACTCTGGGGCCGAAACCCTGCAATGCTATATGCCGGGTGGTTTGGGGTGGGTACTGCCACGCGACGCGCGCGTAGGATTGGGCCCGGGCCCACGAGGCGCGCGAAGAACGGTGCCACACCCTAAACCCCAAACCCCAAACCCTAAACCCTGAACCCTAAACCCTAAACGAGGACCTTAAGCCTGGCCTGGGGCCCAGGGGCCCAGGAAGCGCGAGGATGTGCAGAGCTTGGAAATGGGAAGGTGTAGGCCCGATCTGATATCATCAATTTCGAGAATAGATTTGGTTCACCGGACATACAGGGATTAGGGTTTAGGGGTTTAGGGCTTAGGGTTTAGGTTAGGGTTTGGGGTTTAGGGTTTAGGGTTTAGGGTTTAGGGTCAAAACCCCACACGAATGTCGGACCCGGCCGATCTGGCCGTGCCAGGAGGGCTGTGCGGCTGTGAGGGTTTCGGCTGTTGGCCATCTGGCTGCGCCGTCAGCTGCCACCACAAGGAATGGCTTATGCCCCTAAACCCTAAACCCTAAACCCTAAACCCTGAACCCTAAACCGCCCCTTTCGTTTGGGGGACTCTTTGGTGTCAGTTTGCTGGATGCCTGCAGGAGCATTCCCTGGAGGGCAGGGAGTTCCAGCATCGAAAAAGGAAACTTGCTAATTCGCATGGGTCGTCATTTTTTGAAAGGAATGTGTAACTGTAACTCTGTTAAACGATACAACAACATCGCTTTGAAACAACACGATGTTCAATAGAGACGTAGACTAGCAATACAGCAATCCCGTCCAGCTTTCTGCAAACCCTAAACCCTAAACCCTAAACCCTGAAACATGAAAGGCTGTATGAGAGACTATTACAGCAATGTCGGTACTTGATCTAAGCCGAGGAAGACTCCTGGATACCCTAGAACCCTGAACTGCAACAAGCCGAGAGGGCCCGACAACTTGACCACCCCAAACCCTAAACCCTAAACCGTGAACCCTAAACCCTAAACCCTAAACCCTAAACCCTACACCCTAAACCCTAACCCCCAAGACTCTTTGCAAGCTGTGCGCCCATCTTCATCAGCGTGGCCGGAGTCGGGGGCACGCAGTTGCGGATCATCGGCACACAGGGGCCATCATCCTCATCCTCACCAGCACCCTGCTTTCCTAAAGATCTGGAGTCCTGGCCGCGAAGGCCACCAAAACCCTAAGGCCTAGGCTCCAAAACATGTTGTTGAACTTCCTGGCCATAAGTATCTTTACCATATACATCCCAGCTCACACACGCAGATCCTCGTCGACCTCACCGGCATGTCGTTCTGGGTCTGGGCAGCCGGGTGTGTGCGCGAGCTCGTCCCCGTCTTCCTTCAGGGACTTCCGGGCTTTGCACGGTTCAGGCGTTGAGTGTTTAGTGGTGTGCTTCGAGCTTTGCTTTGAGCTTCTTGTGGTTCCGAGGGTCGGTGGCTTCGGGTTCTGGGCAGGCTTTCTTCTCTCACTCTCACAATACTTCTCTTCAGCCGAAAAAAAAAAGACCGCCCTGACTCAGCAGGTCATACATCCAATGACACCAACTGCCCGCTCTAGAGCGACGACAAAACCTCGGCAAGCTAAAGGTCATGAGGCCATGAATGGAGCTTCCGCTCCAACGCGAGATCCGATGTACATGACCATCCGGTGTACCCCACAACATTTGGACCCATGCGCCTCCACACGCTCATAGCCTTGGCTGCCAACACACAGCCAACCCTGCGACTTGCCTTCCCCTTGGGGTCAGCACCGGAGCACCCTGGCCCGTGGCTACTTGTCCTAGCTGCTCAAGGCCCTTGCTGACCCAACGAAGGTTCAGGCTCAACCAGGTGAAGCTCAACATGTTGTGTAATCCCCTATGAGGGGTTCTAAAAGCCGCAAGAACCCTTCTTACTGGACGGTTCGGAGAGATGCCCGCAGGGTATCTTGGCCCAAAAAAACGTCCGTAAGCCCTTCAAAAGCCTATAAAGCCTCAAGAGGAAAGCTTACAGCATGATCCCTTAAGCATCCGCAAGCCTTTAGGGGCAGCCCAGGCACCCAGCCGCTCGTAGAAGCCCACCGCGGAGGCCAAGGAACGTAGCCGGACTTGGCCCGGCCGAAAGCCCTGCGAAGGCTTTGGGGCTTCTGGGACATTCAGTCTACTAGCTTCGGATTTCGGGTGTCTGGAGGATGAAGGCATAGTAAGGATAGTAAAATTTAGAACTTCCAAAGCCTTGGACTTCAGGGCTCGCGCATGCGCTGCTAGCAGCTGATGTGTGCCAAGTACAGCTCCGTGAAAAGGGCTTGTGGTCGGGCTACAAGCCGCACCTCGGACGTGGAAACGCCGAGGAGTGCTGCACGATCTTCAGCCACCTTCCTCGGCCCAGCAGTGTGGAGTTTGAGGGTTTAAGGCTCAAGGAAACTCCAACCCCACAAATCAAGCTCAAACCCAGACTCCGGAATCCCAATTCCTCATGCGCTGGCGCATGGCCCCAAACACACTTGTCAAAATCTCCTGTCCCGAAGCCAACCTCTACTAAAGCCCAACTGCACCAAACCCCCCAACGCCCCAGGAAAGCCCAAACCCCCAAACATCCTCGAGCCATCTCGAGCCGAAACATCTGCTGCTGGGACTCATGAGCTGCCGGCCATAGCCCTTGCCTCGATGTTTGTCTGCCACACCCACAGCACCTCGGCTCCAGCGCTCGAAGTCTCGCTGTCTCGCCCAGCGCCGCCCGGCCCCGCCTACGCTGACGCCGGGAATGGGCAGTCCCCAAGTCTTGTAGGCGACGAAGCCCAGGAGGTCCAACCTGAACTCACTCCGCTGCTGCGATCTTAGTGTGCTTCAGGGTCTAAGGGGCCATAATCTTTCAGAGAGGGCTTTGGCACCTGGATTCATGCGCCTGAATGCCCCGAACTCCTAGAAAGCCCTCCGCGAACGGCCCACAGGTCAAGTGCCGCCCGGCAACGCAGGGTCTTCGCCCGGCCTCTCCTCCACCAACAGGCTGAGCTTGAGGTTGTAATCCTGTGAGACCGGGGTAAGGCAAGGGAGCTCGCTCACATGTCTACCGGCATGAGGTACAGGCTTTCATGCCGGCTGTGGACCTTTGAGAGGCCCTTCGCCAAGCAACAGCGACATCCCTTGCAGCCGAGTCACAAGCTGCGCCTGTCGAAAGTTCTTCAAATCGGCGCCAAACCTCGGGAGGTCGCATGAGAGCAGGCTTAGCGCATGGGTGAGGGATTCTGTTGCAAGAGCTTTGGGGAAAAGCCACCGAATAGACAAATTTCTGTCGAAGGCGGCCCTGTAGGCAGCACCATTGGGAACACAAATGCAGATCCCCCCAGAGATGCACGGAGCGAATCCAACAGCCCGAGAGGCACGAAGGGTGTTCCTTCTACGGTTTCGCGACCCGACGCAGATTCGACAAATGCACGGGACCGAGCGATGTAGGCGTCGAAATTACACACGAGACCTTGGCAGGAGCGCGATTTGTCGCATCGGGCGATGCCGAAACCATGGCCTTTCAATTTGGAAACGGCCACCCCCCCTCCCCCCCTCCCCCCGAATCGCGCGGCCACGCTCGTGCCTGGGCAAGAATGCGGTTGACCCCAAACGAGCATCACTCCTAGGCGAGAGCTGCGGAACTTCTGCGCATCATCGGGACAGGTACCTCAACCTGATCCTCCTTGTCCCCAACATTGGAACCCGCAGTGTTGCCGCACTACTGCTCGGGCAATGGCACATGCCCAGCAACTGGCAAACACAAACAGCCCCCAAACTCTGCAAATACGAGAAGAAAAACAAGAGAACAATCTCAGAGACGCAGCACAGCCAGCGTCTGCTCAAGCCAGGAAAATCTCCTCAAGACACAAGCCTCGACAAAACTCCAATTCTGCGCCCTCAGCCCGGGCATGGTCCCGAATTGAGAACCCCCAAGTCTGAAATCAAAAAATCACGAAGCCTATCAAAACATCTCAGAGACCGGGCGGCTCCTCCATGAGGACTTCGGCGAGCTGCTTGTCGATCACTTCGCCCAGCCCAGAGATGGCCTACAAGCGTTCTCCAAAACGGTAGGCGTTGGGCCTTGGGGTTTCTTGAAAGGCTTTGCTGGCAGCATCCCGGGGCCAAACGTGCAAAGGCCAATGAACGGATCCATGGATCCAACTCGGGAAGATGGGTCTTGCATAGAGCTAGCCCTAAACCCTAAACCCTAAAACCTAAACCCTAAACCCTAAACCCTAAAACCTAAACCCTAAACCCTAAACCCCGAGTAGCTGGGTTCGGAGCTACAAGGATGCTCCTGCGTATTGGGTCATGACGTCTTTTGCATGCAGCATTTTGCCGCTGTTTTGTTTGTGCCTTTTTGGCCCATGTTGGTAGAGACTTAAAATACACTCCCCATCGGGTCCAAGCCCCCCCCCCCCCCCCCAATTTGCAAACACAACGCTCGTATGAAGGGTTTACAGACAGAAAAGACTTTGCATTATAATTATATGGATTATATGCTGTATATGTATGTATGTATGTGCATATATGTATATATATATATATATATATATATATATATATATATGATCCCGGTTCTCGGTTCGCCACCCCCCCCCCCCCCCCACCCCCCCCCATGGTATGGCCCCCCTAAAACCTAAAACCTAAACCCGAAACCCCTAAGCCCTAAACCCTAAAACCCTAAACCCCAAACCCTACACCCCCTAACCCCTAAACCCTACCCTAAACCCTAAACCCTAAACCCAAACCCTAAACCGTAAACCCTAAACCCCAAAAACCCTAAAACCCCTAAAAACCCTAAAACCCTAACCCTAAACCCTAAAACCCTAAAACCCTAACACCCTAAAACCCTAAAACCCTAAAACCCTTAAACCCTAAACCCTAAAACCCTAAAAACCCTAAAACCAAAACCCTAAAAACCAACCCACACCCACCAGGGGGGGGAGGCATTGGGGGGGGGGGGGGGGGGGGGGGGGAGCCCGCACCCGCATCATATATGCTACCCCCCACCCCCCTGCCCCCACATGGACCTACCTCTTTTTCGACTTTGCTGCGAGCACCAGCCTCGACGTGAAGCTCTCCTTGTAGAAACATCGGTTTTACCGATGTTTTTGAAAGCCTGCCTTCGAAAAACATTGGCTTTACCGATGTTTTTTCGAAGCCCACCCTCCAAAAGCATTGGTGTTACCGATGTGTTCTGGACCCATGCTGCGAAAAACTCGCCAAAACTAATAACAATCGTTCGGGAATCCCGATCCGTTACGATCATCGGTAGAAATTCTGTATCCAGAATATTTCGCACGCAAATCCGAATGTAAGGAGCCCAGAGGAATAAAAATCTATCTTCCATCCGAATACCGAAAAAAGGGGGGGGGGGGGGGGGGGAGGAAGAAAAAGAAATGCGAAGAAACCAGCACACAGTCTGTTCCTTTTTCACTCGAAGGAAATGGCGAGAAATCGCAGGTGTCACCGGACCAAACCCCCCAACACGCGAACGTGCCACCCAACGTGCAACAAGGTTGCAAAAAGGTGACAAGTGTAGAAAGCGGGGAAAAGTCAAACACCATGCTCGTTTCACCGTTTCACGACCCGCAATATACACCGGGGACTCGCCAAAAAAATTCCCATCGAGAAACGCATTTCAATCCACTCCGCACCCTTCTTTTGCGGCACAGCGCCATGCCTTTGACGAAGATCCGCGGAGCTTCGTGCAAAAGTGGGAAGGCCACGACGCCTCACTAGGAGACAGGCGCAGACTGTTGAATCCCCCAGCCAAGAGCTCGGCCAGTGGAGGGACGGCACGAGCTTCAAGAGGAAGAGGAGATGGCCATTGACACCATCTGCTCAGCTCATCAGCCAGGAAGGCTGTGAGCACAGCAGCAAGAGATCGCACGGCAGAAAGCCCCTTTGCTGCCGCTGCCTCAGCACCAGCGTTGTCGCAACGCAACGCCACAGAGACCAGTCCCACAGGACGGTAACGTTCGATCCAGAAGCCAGATCAGAACGAGCTGAGCGAGAAGTTCCAACGCAGCGATGTGGGACTGTGGAGAGCCTTCGAAGAGTGGGGACAACTCCCGAAGGGCAGGCGCAGAAATCTGCACAGCAAACCAGTCATGACGACCCGATGGCCAAAGAACATATCCCCCAAGACCACAGCCTTGTTCCGACGGGCAGGCATCCGCCTCAGCCATGAGAGCTAACTGCACAGGTTGCCGAACGGCGTAAACCAGAGGGGTCGACTCCAGCAAAGCCTTCCAGGCGGCGAGGGCATCCTTTGCAGGATCGGGCAGAGTGCGCAAAGGATGGTCATTAGAGCGGGATCACAAGTGACAGCGACGCCCGGATTGGACGTCTCAGTAGGTACTGGTGATGCGTCGCCAGCAACCGCTTCGAAACCAAGAGTTTCATGGGCAGAATCACTAGAAGTATCCTTGTCCAGAGCAGGTTCAGGCCTAGATGAGACTGCTGGAAGGTCCACCTCCGCGTCCTCGACCAGAGGCAAAACCGAAATGTGAATGTCAGGCACCGAAGGCTGAGCACCCCGAAGAAGAGGACGACGTGGTCGGAATCCCGCCAGAACCGCTTTCACTATATCGCCCTGCATCTTCAGCGGCGCAGCCACATCATCTCGCCCGTAGAGTTCGCCCATGGACTTCAGAGCACTGCGGTGATGGCCCTGCAACATCCGGAGGGGTTCTTTGATCAGCAGTTGTTTCGCGAAGCTGAGGAAGGTGACCTTAAACGAGTGGACTCCCAGCAAAGACAGATCTGGCCGAGTGATCCATAGCATCGCGCGCAGCTGACCCGATCAAAGCCCCCTGGGAAAGATAGATCTCGAAGGGTGAGCTCCACAGGGCATCGCTCCATCTCAAGGAGGCGAATACGCAAACCAAAAGTGATCCACAGCGCAAGCGGTGAGCTGCGGAAGCTGAGTTATCCAGCACTTGTGTCTCCAGCCAGATGACAAATGACAAAGGAAGCGGAGCTGACTCCCGACGGGCGACCGTCTCAGGGGAAATGGTATAAGCGGTGACCAAGGAAGTACTCGAGGACGCTTTGAGCTCCAGCAACTCCAACTTTTTTGCCAGAGATTTAACCCAGCCTTGCGCCGTAGAAAGTCGTCCCTTGGCACGCAGAGCAAGAAAATCGAGGAGCACATGGTCTGGGTGCAAAAACGGAGAAGCTCCCAGAGCCTCCGTAAACTTCTCCCAATGCGACCACATGCGGAGATACGCAGACAGCGTCGAAGGAGCATTTGCACGCACCAATCGAGCAAGGCGCGCGTCGGCACTGGAGCTTCGCAGCAAGCCCGCCACCAAATGGCTATGCGTGGCAGCTTTTCTAGACAGACGCAGCCAATTTTCCACTTGATCATCCTTTGCATTGGCCAGGGCTTCCCTCAAAGCGCAAGCTCGCTGATGAGCCCTCGCAGAATGCACTGGGACTGGCGGAAAAGCAACAGTCACGCACTTCGGCACAGGAACCTGAAAACGAGGCATATTGCAAGTTGATAAAATGGAGCTGTGCACGTAGGGGAGAGCTCGCGGACGAACACGTGGAGGATGTTCAGGTCTGAAGGTTGCCGGCGTAGCAGGTTGCAGGCCCCGAAGTACTGCCGTGCGATCAGCTGGAGGAGCAGTCACATTGATCGAGGATGACGGCGATGCCAGGTTGGGACGGTAAGCAGCGTTCAGCTCCCCATTTTGCCAGCGAGAAGGACGTGCAGTGGCCATGTTGCGATGAGACCTAAAATGAGCAAGAAAAATAGCATGCTGCAACAGCCACAACTCAAAAGAGCTAAACAAGAGCGCCAAGAGGTTAATTTGGCAGCCGAAGGCAAAGCTGTCACTCCCCTTTTTTATAGCACTGCCAGCCTCAATCAGAAGGAATCACACCCACCAAGCCAACCGCCTTGGAAAAGGCAGTGGCACGAAAGGCTACCAGCAAAATTCGAGGGAACCGGGCAAACCTTAAATGGGGAGCGGGGAAACACAAGGGTCATCCGGCAATTGCACCTAGAGGGACCTACACAAAACCCAGAGAAGCAGCCAAGAGAGTGCCCCGGACAGACGAGAAGGCGAAAGGGAACGACGAGCGACCGAGGTAACCCACGGGCTATAACCAAAATCGGGAGCCAGTGTACACAGGGGTCATCCGGCAGGTGAAGGGAAATGCAAGACCACTGGTCGCAGATGCAACGGTCAGGTCGACCACAGAAATGCAGGAAGTGGCAAACAGACTGCAAGCCTATGAGGCATGGCGAGCAGAACTGGGCAGAACCGAACTGGCACATTCGAGAGCCTGAAGACGCGTCTCCACCTGAGCAGCCCAAGGCGCAGAACAAGGCGGCTGATCGGCAGATGATGACGAGCAAAAAGAGACCCCATGCCGGAGGGAACAGAGCTCATCAGACAATGCCCGAGTATGCGCAGCCAGCTTCTCAAGCCACTGCTGGTGGCAAGCAGCGGAACTCTCCAAGGCTTCAAGTCGAGAAAGAAGTCGACCAACACCTCGGCTGCCGATTGACTCGCAGGTGACTGTGCTGCCAGCATCAGATGTGAACCGACTGAGGCTGGCATCCAAAGCCTCAACAACCCGATTGATGGCAGTAGTCTGAGATGCGACCCCGAGTGGCTAACAGCAAAGCTAGGTCCAAAGTGCACAGGTCAGCTGACAGGAAGCTATTCCAAGGAGTTTCAAAGAGAGCACCACGCAAATCGCGCTGAAGTTGCAGCACCGAGGAGTGCGTCAGGCGAACACCCAGCGACCGAGCAACAGCCACACTCTCGAGTGATTGGAGACGATCTAGACAGCCCGTAACCATCGCTTGCAAAGCTACCAAAAAGCTACCAAATCCTCTGCGACACGACCCAAAGATGGTCCTCTAGCAGATGCAGTCGGCGCAAGCACAGCATGTGAGAGCCTGGCCGGACAGGCAACACGGGATGTAGTCACAGAAGATGCGAAGGAAGCCCCTGTGTGCGAATCAGCTGGCACCAAATCTTCAAAGTCACTGTCACTGAAGGGCACAACAGGATCACTC